CAGATTCAGTAAACAAGCGTAGGATTAGTCAATGTTTTTTATGCCTAGACTAAAGGGTAAAGAATAGGCATGCTCCTATTTGGTACAATATAATTTGAACTGATTCACTTTATCCGTTTACTATAATTTCTTGATAAGGAGAATGATGTTTTCTTATATATTGAATATCACATTTAAACCTTCATTAGTATCATTCGTTATTTAATAGTTATTAAAATTACATATTTATTGCAATTGCCTATTAGTGACATATAAGCAAATTGAACTTTGTTGTTGTGATTAAAGTATTACTTTTTCTAAAATCTTACTTTGTAGTTTTAAACTTACTCCATGTGGGATCGATATCTAGGACTCCATCAGAGCCCTATATTACTTGAGCGATACGTATACTTGTGTTGATAAGTGTGACTTTACAATTATTGAATATTTATTACGTCCATATTTATCTTATATTTTTAAGCATATATAAAGTCGCGGTCATCATCTTCTCCTTTGGAAGCTGAAACTAGGGTTGTTTTGGGTGCTCTACATACTATCATTTCCTATGGCTTCTCTAATCTCATTATTGAAACTAATTCTCACACACTTTAACGGGCAAGGTAAAGCCTCTTTGGAATATGATGATTTTGATTAATCGAATAGATTGTATGGTGGCTAGCTCTAATCTCTCTATTCAGTATAATTTTGTTAATCGGGAAGGAAATAGGCCTGCAGATTGACTGGCTAAACATTGGTACAATGACATTTATATTGGGCAAACCCCCCCTCCCCTCTTCTTCAATTTGATTCATGATGATATTATTGATGTCCTCTATTTACGTGCTTGAGGTTGCTATACTGCAGGGTTTTGATGGCTTGTTTTATCCCATTCTCATTTGGATATTTCCTTTTTACTTGGTGGTGTACATCAAACACTTATATATGTTTTATTTGGAGGCAAAAGAAGAGGTTTTATTAGGAGGCACATGGCTCACTTTTTGGTGACAATATTTCAGGAATATATTGGAGGCCCATGACCCCTGTTTTTTGCATACTTTCCTTGTTTGGAGCTTTATAGCTCCTAATGCTTATTTGAGAAATACTGGATGATTTGATGATGCTTTCCTTTTCTATAAGATGCTTTCCTTTTCTATAAGGGGAGGCAATGGTTGTTGGAGGTTTAGGCTGCTGGTATTGGTCTTTACCATTTCTCGGGTCCTCTTTATTGGGGAGGTTTAGGCTGCTGGTATTGGTCTTTACCATTTCTCGGGTCCTCTTTTTCTGCAGCTTATATTATCAGTGGAGACTCCTCTCTCATCTTTTAATGTCTTATCCCCTCAATGTCATTTATTCTACTAACAGATGTGATCTACAAGTTCTTAGAAGACGACATATTACTATTATGTTTCTCCTCTAGGACTATTACTTTGTCACAATTTTGCGCTCAGGTTAGAAGATTGTGCAGTTTCAAGATAATTGGATTTACGGATTGCATAGTTCCGTTTTGCACTTTCCCTATAAGTTCATTTTTGGAATACTACTTTTGATTGACATATCTTTTTGGGTTACATGTAATTTTGGAAGTGATAGCTTGTTCTACGCTTTTTTGTGTGTCCTTTTTTGTGTGGTATTGTATGTGGACGGAGGAACCCTTAGGTTTCAATGTATCTTTTTGTTTTTTAGTAGGGATCCTCATTCCCTTCTAAAATTGTACGATCTCTATCATCATTAACGCGTAAGGAGTCACAAGTTTGCTCTTTCAATAAATAAATAAATAAATAAATAAAAATCAGAAATATAGGACTGATCTTAAAGTAAGAATGACGGCATCTACTTTCTCAACAAGTAACAGGATATATGGTGGTCCCGCTAGCCACCGGCCCATGTTAGACCTTATTGGCCAATTCGATAATACCGTTCCTCGGCAGGGTTAAATTCGTCAAACTTTAAATTCCCAGACATAGTACCGCTGCCGATGCAGCTACAAAAGAAGTGGCAAACATGTAAATTCTGATCTATACAGTGGCATATGTTTTTCTCTGAAAAGCTAAATGCCTCGTCTTTCCGACATCTTGCACACT